AACAGTTTTTCCATTAAAACATGTTTTCCTCGGGCGTTCCGTTTAGCCTACTTAGTAAGAGTGCTGTGTGTCTGGTTATATGTCTCATATAAACTAGACTGTGACCTCCAAAGTCTTTGCTAGTTTCCGTTACTATGACAGGAAAAAGACGAACATTGACTTCTCAAATTCTTAATTTGCCCCTGCCTTCACTTACACTTCTATTTATTCTCATTTAAGTACTATACTTCTCACATGTTTTAGGAGCATTGTTTAGAGTTTCCTTGGTTCAGAAATCAACTTTAGCAGGTTCGATTTTCTGGCTTTTCTCTTCTCTCTTTACTCCGGCCCATTTCCTTCTTATCATAGAAATTTGATAGCTATTGGAGGCAAGTAAGTTGATAACAATTTACGAATAATAATAATAATAATAAAATCTCTCAAACCAATCATTTTTTACCTAAAACATTTTAATAACCAAATATTAAATTTAAAATCAAACTAGCATTCATCAATTTTTGGTTTACAACAAATTACGAGTTTTTCTTCAGTTTGAGATTTTAGAACAAAAAAATAAATTAACCAAGGAAAAAGTTTATCTGGACCAAAAAAAAAAAAAAAAAAAAAAAAAAGAAAAGAAAGAAAAGAAAAGAAAAGAACACCAAAGAAAGAGTTTGTTATAATGCCATCTCTTTCATTTTGAGTTGTAGGTGTTTTCCAGCATCAATGGAGACCATGATCATGGGCTTTATCTTCCTTCCAATGTTGTTGATGCAATGCTTCATGGTTGCCTTAGCCATGTCTCAACAAAACTTGACCACAGACCAATATGCTCTTCTTCAATTCAAAGCTTCCGTTACTTCTGATCCCTCGAATATCATGTCCTCCAATTGGTCTTCTTCGGCTACCTCAATCTGTAATTGGGTTGGTGTTTCTTGTGGTGCTTTTCATGGTAGAGTCACAGCCTTGGATCTTCCAAACATGAATCTCACTGGCAGCCTCCCTCCTCACTTGGGAAACCTCTCATTTCTTGTTTCCATCAACTTGAGTGGAAACAGTTTCAATGGCCATCTGCCTCCAGAATTAGGGAAGCTACAGCATTTAAGGTTCATGGACTTGAGCTCCAATTTTCTTAACGGAAGCATCCCAGGTGAGATTTGGTTGCTTTCAAAGTTGGAGAATTTTAGATTAGGAAGCAACCGACTTACTGGAACTATATCAAGAAATATTGGGAACTTAACTAAACTAAGAAGAATATACATTGGAGATACAAAAATAGGAGGTATGATTTCAAAGTTTTCTAATTTTACGTCTTTTCTTTGATAGTATATGTTGAGAGTTAAGTAGTGATTCATCATTCTTCAATTAAACTCTAAACTCTCAATTTCTTTTGTAGGGGAAATACCAAAGGAGATAGGTAATCTTCATAATTTGGAGATACTTTTAGCAAGAAATGCAAACCTATCAGGTCTAATTCCACCAAATATCTTCAATATCTCTTCCTTAGGAGGGATTTATCTCCACACAAATAACCTTTCTGGTACCCTTCCTGTTGATTTGTGCTACCATTTGCCAAATCTTGAGGCGCTTTATTTGGGTGAGAATCAATTAAATGGCTCAATTCCCTCAAGTATAGGTAGATGCAAGAAGCTTCAACTGTTAGATCTAGACACTAACAGTTTCACCGGATACATCCCAAGAAGCATTGGGAACTTGTCCAAACTTGCTAAAATATATCTCTATGACAATGACTTTGAAGGTGAGATTATTGAATATGTTTTATTTTCATTTATAATACATGAGATTAATAATTTTTGAGTCATTACACTTTACTCTTGACATTGTAAACATTAGTAAAAGTTTCTTGATAGGATCATTCTAATGCAAACTCCCTTTATTTTTTTGAGTTTATTCTTCTTTATTGTACTTTCCTTTCAAAGTTGTAGATTCTCAAAGTAGAAAACAACCAACTTATAGGAACTATAGTTATA